CAGGAACTAATGCTGTGACCGAATGAGTTTTTTCTACAGTAAATAAAGTGTGGACATCAGAAAAATCACAATTAAGTGTTGAGACTTTAAAAGCCATTTTATGTGTGAAATATAATTTAACAAATTCTTGTGAAAAATTTTGTGACCTTTTAAATAACGACAGCAATCTATTAAAAAAAATCACTCAAATGAGAAATATGCCAAAGAATAAAATACATAATACTATACATATTTTTTAATGTATATTTGTAAATTGTACTTATGTTGAAATTTAAAAAAATATATTACAATACTATTTTTGTGTTCTATGAAAATTTTTGTTACTCCATATAGACCAAATTTTTAATTAAGAACACCACCCCCCACCCCCATCAATGGTGTCCCGCTTTACCAATGTTAAAATCTGGTCACCTTACACTAATATTCCTTCTTGTTATTTAAAATTTCAGGTATGTTTCTCTTCTTTCATTAGTCTTATCACATTGTGATTGCTCTTTCCTTGGAGGGTGACAAGGATAGATTTAGGGGAGAGATGGCATTTGATCAGAGCCAGGAATGCTGGATAGGATTTGAGTTAGCAGAATGAAATGGAGGTGCATGTATGTGGGTGGGGGGCAGGAAAGGAGACAGTCTGATTAGGGGCAATGGCATGAGCCATTTGTATGGTTGGCAGAAAATGCATAGCTGTTGACAAGAGTAAGATGTCTGTACCTGGTTAGGGTGGGTAACGCTAAAAGAGCAAGGAGAGTAGCGTGAGGACCATGCCCTTGGCCTTTGGCTACCTCTTTAAGAGCCTTGGTTTAAAATTTCCTTTGCTGAGCCCTATTAGTTATTGCTAGGGAGCAAGCTCTGTCCCTACAGGAAGAGGGCTCAGGTCTGTGACAACCAGTCTTTTTTCTTTCTAGCCTAGAGCGTCTTACTGTGATTTGGGTTCCTGGGGAGGAAGGCTGGACCATCTGATTAGCTCTTCTTGGAAGCTGGCCCTTTTCCCTCCCAGGTAGCCAGTTTCTCCTTTCTCTTCCTTCTTCTTTTTTCCCCTCCCCTCCTTTGTCCTCCTCTTCCCTTCCTCCACCCACTCTAAAATATTCTTAGGAAGAACCAGGTAGCAGTGGTGGAAACCTCCAAGGCAGAGATGTGAGGGACAAATCTTTTCTGCCTTTTCTGTTATCTCCCACTTGCTTAGTCTAGGTCAGAAGTTGATTTATTTTCTGATCTTACGGTGCTAATTCTCTTGGAAGTTATAACAGTTTCTCTCTTCTCACCCCTAACATGAGGCAAAAATGAGTCCTCAACAGACTTATAAGCGGCAGTAGCAATTACCAGAGTTCCCAGACCGGTGAAGCGAGTGTTGGGCGATCTTTAGAAAGCTGCTCCCTCCACAGTGCTCAGGTAGGACGCCCGTCACCCATCACTAGTCTGGCCACCCTCCATGCTCCCCACCCCATGTCGCCCCACCCCGCAGGGGTTAGAGCATGACATACAGTATAAAACCTTTTTTATTTAAAAATGCAAAAATGGTGGTCATAATAATAACAATAATAATAGCAATAATAATATAAAAAGCATTTCTCCTTCCTCCCCAGTGCAAAACGGTCCATGGCTCCAGATAACCCCGAGACACACAGTGTTGGACGCGTTATCGCAACGCAGCGCTGCACAGCAGCAAACTCAGTCCCAGGCTCCTCCGCGGGATCCCCATGGTAGGTCAGTTCTAGATGTCAGCGGCTTCTCCCAAGTGAGTCCCAGCAGCAACCGGCACGTGGCTCCCGCTCTCTCCGGGCGTCTGTCTCTCTGTCCCTCCCCGTCCGCGGCTCTCCGGCGGCTCCTAGGAGGCGTGCTGCCGGTGAGAGAGGGCCCGGCCGCTGAGGACGGCCTCCTGCTCCTGGCCTTTCTCCAGCAGGCCTTGCTTGCGGAGAGCCTGCCGCTCCCGGGCGGCGCGCAGCTCGGCGACCGCCGCCTCCTCGTCCCGCAGGCGGCTGGCGGCCGTGAAGGGGCTGCACACCGTCTCCATCAGGCCGAGCAGCACGCCGACCAGCGCCAGCACGCTGCCCAGCACGTACAGCTTCACCAGCTTCCCCTTGCGCTTCTGGGCCATCAGCTCCCTGGCCAGAGGAATCAGCTCCTGGATGGCTTCCATCTCGACCCTGGGCTCTCGGGCTAGGAGTGACCTGCGGGAGGAGAGGAAAAGAACAGAGGGTCCTTAAGCCACCGAAGGAGGGCTCCAACTGTCCAGGAGCCCCCCTCTTGGCTCTCTCGGGAAGGGCCCGTAGAAAGGCGTCCTCACTGGGACACCGGGGCACCGGGCCGGCCCCCAGCCCGGGACTCCGCGCCGCCGGCGGGGCTCACCTTAGAGGCGCAGCGCGAGCAGGAGGCAGCGCGAGCTGGGGGCGGCGGTGGTCAGCGCGTCCGTCTGTCCGGCCGGCCTCGGCGTTCTCCTCCTTCTGGGCAGCTGCAGCTCTTCCGGATGGAGACTCCGCAGCTGGCACCTTGTCACCGTTCACCGGCCGCTTATATCTTTTCTCGGAGACCCGCCTCTTTGGCTTTCTGGCACGGGCCAGCGCAGCCCAAGCCAGGAGGAGGAGGAGGGAGAGAAGACGGAGGAGAAGGAGGGGGTGAGGAAGGGGGGAGGAGGAGGAGTAGGGGACCCGGCTGGGACCTGGCGCAAGGAGGCCACGAGCTGCACACGCCCGGATCGTGTGAGCTGGAGGACCTGGGGGCGGGCCAGTGCGGCGGGGGGCACAGGAGAGCAGGTCTGCACGTAGAGGTCCCACTGTGGACGTGCACGGTGGGAAGGACCCGGGGCCTAGGGAGGTGCCGCGGACATTTCTAACTGGACACTTCCCCAGTGGTGTTAGTGCACAGCTTAACTTCGTCCCAGACAGCTGGAGAAGAACCTGTACCTGGGGCGGGGGCGGAAGAAGGGAGGCGGTCTATTTGGAGACAAATCTTTCATTTTTATTTAGATTGGTTGTTACCTTCCCTGTGTACGGCAGTATATTGGAAAAACGAGGGGAGGGATCCGGGAAGCAGACTAGAATGGGTCTCCATGTGTTGGATAAAGCAAAAGGTGCTTGCACTGTTTCTTTCTGCACGAATGTTTTTATTCAGAGGTGCATGCATTGTTAGTCACTTAACAGAAAATTATTCATGGAGGGTTCCCTTTTATGCACAGGGAGGTAGGGGTGTGTGTGTTTATACGTCTTGTTCAGGGACAGCCATTAAACCCAAACTGTCCCCACTCCCACTTCATAAGTTGAGTTGGGGGCTGTTGGTAAAAGTTTGTCTGCTGGCCCAGAGTGGAGAGAATTCATGCTCTCTTCAATAATTCTTTGCCACTTCCCCAGATTTGCGTTCACAGTACAACTTCACTGTATCAGTTCAGCTTTATCATCAAAGCAGTTTAGTTTAGGGGCAGAAGGGTGTGGAGAGAGTTTAGGTAAGAACCCAAGAAGTGGTGAGTGCTCTTGGAAGCAGGAGGACATAAGATTAATTTTAACTAGGATTAACCCTAATCCCCTTGGGGGTGGGGTGGTGGTTTCTAATTTAGCTTTGGTTATCAATATGCAGACTTAGCGAAGTAGGGGAAAAGGAGAGGCTAACAGGCCAAAGGCCTTCAAGCAGGGAAGGGGAGAGGTCAGGGGAGGAAGGGGAAACCAAACTGGCCAGAAAATTGCAAAGGTCCGTGATGCAATCTTGCAACAGCTTCACAGTCAGTCAGACTGAGGCCCGAGGGGAGGGGCAGGGGAAAGGGCTGCTTCATGGATCAAATATTTTACTTGTTTGAAATATTGACAGTAATCTTACTTTGGGGTCTGAGGCAATTTCCCAGACAGTTTAAAAAATGCAGCAGTGACATGTACAACTAGCCTTTGCCTTGGCTATTTGTAGTTCAGGTGAGAATTTAAGGTTAAGGTCACCTAAATAGCCTATTTAAGATTCGACATTTTGGCTCGGCGCCTATAGCTCAACCGGCTAAGGCGCCAGCCACGTACACCTAAGGTGGCGGGTTCGAATCCCCAGGCCGGACCCGCCAAACAACAATGACGGCTGCAACCAAAAAATAGCCGGGCGTTGTGGCGGGCGCCTGTGGTCCCAGCTACTTGGGAGGCGGAGGCAGGAGACTCGCCTGAGCCCAGGAGTTGGAGGTTGCTGTGAGCTGTGATGCCACGGCACTCTGCCCAGGGGGACAACTTGAGGCTCTGTCTCAAAAAAAAAAAAAAAAGATTCGACATTTTAATCTGTACACAAGCCTTCAAGGTGACCAGCAGCCAAAGAGGAATTTTTCCTGGAGGATTATGCCTCTTGCTTATTGTTCCTTTAACCTTGTCAGGCAGGAAAGTTCTGTAACAAGGGTCAAAGCCAAGTTATTAGTCTTGGTATTGTCTTTGATTCTTCCTTATAATTTTGGATCACAGTCTCTAATAACTGGCAGAAGTAATCTGTGCACTTTCTCAATATCTGTAAGTTCCAAACCTAGTGGCTTCTGGATACATATGATGTGTATCTTGACATAAGGGCTTTTACTTGGTTTCCATTCTGAAGGTGAGTCAGCTCAGCTGTGAACGCAAAACTCTGAAACTGGCCCGTAAGCACTTCCGGAATTTCTTTAACTCGAAGACGCAAACCACACCTCTTCTTAGGTCAGCAGGTGTAATTTACCCAGGGTTCCCCTTTCCTGTGATGTGTTAGGGCATCAGCTGAGTTCCCCTATTTTTTTCTTTGATAATCTGACTTTCATAGCCGGGCTTCACCAGCTTGTTGGCAAGGGCTGGGCAGAGGGGGCAGCAAGTGTCATGGATTTGATGTTCCTGGTTTGGGTGGTACCGATGGCTGACTGGGAGATAATGGAAACAGAAGACTAAGGAATCCAGTGTCTGCTCACAGCTCTTTCTAGGTGGGGCAAATGAACACAGCTCTTAGGGTAGAAGAGGGTTAGGTAAGGCTTGGAAACTTAACAAGTACTTCAGTGGGACTGATGTCACTCTTAGGAAAGTAAGGCACTGTGTTGCATCATGCAGTTAAGACAGGTCATAGCTACAAACGTCAGACTAAGTCTTATGGTGACTAACCATATTATTTTGCTCAGGGTTGAGGGGTTTTCTAAGATGCAGTAATTTCAGTGTTAAAATTGAGACAATTTTGGACAAACTGAAACAGTCACTCTACCCTTACCTCTGTCCTAACATCTAATTCTTGCCATTTCTGGGAAGGTGGGAAGAGCCATTTTAATTTTGCTTTCCAAATCCATTTCTCCCAAACTTTATAACACCCAGAGCCATCTACTGAGGGAAAAATCACAAAGGAGCAATGTGTGATCCAAGGGGTAAGTGCAGAAGAGGATAGAGCTGTCCCTGCAACTCTGCCCTGGGGATGGAAGAAACAGGAGACAGAGCTCTTTTGGATGACTAGTTGTGTGTGAGCTTCAGTTATTATATTTTGTTACCAGCTGCCTGCCGCTTACACAAAGTCCCTGCCTACCCTGGGCTTCCAAGATGCTGGAGGGAGGGCCTCAGCAGAGGAGATATAGCAACACTATTTGTATATCTTACAGCCCACTTGAAAAAGATTTTTAGTCTTTGAGTTAGTTTCATTTCAGATAAACTAGTTTTGGAAAGAAGGCTTCTTATCACTCACATATCAGTGGATGATTTTTAAATTGACATGTCTAACTTTTATTTCTCTGTTCTTATAGATGAAAGTTCTGAGTCTAGGGCACATAATAGATTCTTTTTGTTGTTTGTTTGTTTTTTTGAGACAGAGTCTCACTTTGTTGCCCTCAGAAGAGTGCCCTGGAATCACAGCTCACAGCAACCTCCAACTCTTGGGCTCAAGCCGTCCTCTTTCCTCAGCCTCCCACATATCTGGGACTACAGGTGTTCACAACAATGCCCAGCTAGTTTCTTAGAGACAGGGTCTTGCTCTTGTTCAGGCTGGTCTTGAACTCCTGAGCTCAAGCAATCCATCCACCTGTCTCAGCCTCCCAGAGATGTAGTAGATTTTTAACAGGTGACCATGAATGGCTTCCTCATTGGACTGTGAAGCCCGGCAGGGGAAGGACTGTATTTATTATATTTGCATGCAGTCTGACTTTTAGTGAATGGTCAAAGAAGTATCCAGGTTTTTTTTTTTTTTTTTTTGGAGGGGGGTGAGATAGCTTTTGGATTTTATTCCTTTCATCTCTAATCCTTCTTATTTTTCTTTTCTTTTTTTTATTAAATCATATTTGTGCACATTAATTCTATCATAGGATACAGTGTGTTGTTTCCATATACAATTTGAAATACTTTCATCCAACTGGCCAACATAGCCATCATGTCATTCTCATAATTGTTGTGTTAAGACATTTATATTCGACAGAAAGATTCACATGTACCCTTATAGGATAAATCATAGGCGTGATCTTTGCAATCACCCTCCCTTCACCTCCCCTCCCCTCCCTCTTCCCCTTTCCCTGTATTCTTGGACTCCGTTTGGATTATAGCTTTCCTATGATAGTTAATTAGTTTCATAATAGGGTTGAGTACATTGGCTATTTTTTCTTCCATTCTTGAGATACTTTGCTAAGAGGAACATTTTCCAGCTCCATCCATGTAAACATGAAGGAGGTAAAGTCTCCATCTTTCTTTATGGCTGCATAGTATTCCATGGTGTACATATGTCACAGTTTATTGATTCATTCATGGGTCAATGGGCACTTGGGCTTCTCTAATCCTTCTTAAACACTACCACCAAATGAATTGTCCCAAAATTTTATCTTTTTGTTGTTAATAGTCTGTTTAAAGCTTGAGATGATTTCTCATTGCTCACACGATGAACTCCCAGATTCTACACTTTGAATTTGCTTGATCTAATATTTTTGGAATCCAGGATCTCTATGGTCTAGGCTTCCCTACTCATCTAACTTTCTCATTCTTCTCTCCCAAGAATCCTTTGCTTCATAAAGGGCTTTCTTTACAAGCCAAGGCACAATTCATTCCCATTGTTGCTGCTTTGCTTTTGCTCATGCCGTTCTTCCTACTTGAAATGCTGTCCTTCCTTTCTTCTTTCCTTGAGGCCAAATTCGAGTTCAGGTGCTCCAGGAAGCCACCACTATCTGTGCCAGCACACCTGGATCTCTCCTTTCTGTGAATTTCAGCTGCCTTTGGAGCTTGTACCACGAAGGTTGGTACTGGATTTTCTACTCTTTTAAACAGCGCTCCCATTGTTTCCTGGGGGCTTTCCTCAGCTCTGTGGTCAACCAGAGCTTTGTATCTTTCATGGTGCTAACATATAATGGAGGTCTAATCAATGTTAAGTTACATTGACATAAAAGTCAGTGCTGGGATAGAGATTGCAAAATGACCAGTTAAAGCTCGCTTGGGAGATTATTTTAGGCAGTGACCTATCCTTGGCTCAGTGCCTTAGAGTTGAAATTGCCCAAGTCCTGACAGCCTGGCTTAGTTCTCTTCACTCTGGCCTCCTCACCTTTCACTTCCATTCCCAACTTAGTGTCTGATTGTGCAGCCATTGGCTCACTCTGAGGCACCCTCTAAGCTGCCCCGGGGACTAATCAATGTGGAGGAACAGA